CCTATTGAGGCCCTCTCGGGGCCCTCAAATGCTGTTACGGAGAGCCCCAAGAGGGCTCCAAGGGGGACCCCCAGAGATCCAGGAGTGGCCGCGTGTGTCTATATATCTGTATATATACACATACATAAACATACATACACACACACGCACACACGCACGCACGCACGCACGCACGCACGCACGCACGCACGCACGCACGCACACACACAGACAGACAGAAAGACAGACAGACAGACAGACAGACAGACAGACAGACAGACAGCCAGACAGACAGACAGACAGGCAGGCAGACAGACAGACACACACACACACACACACACACACACACATACACACATACACACATACACACACACACACACACACACACACACACGCACATCCCTTAGGGATCCTTAGGGAATCCTCCGGAATCCCCGAGGAATCCTGCGGAAGCCCTAGGGGATCTTGAAGGAATCGCAGGGAATCCCTAGGAATCCTTTTTGGGAATCCTTCGGAATCCCCAGGGAATCCTTAGGGAATCTTTCGGGCACCCTTAGGGAATCCCATAGGGAATCTTTCGGGTATCCTAGGAAATCCTGTGAGAATCCTTAAGGAATCCTTCAGGAATCCTGAGGAATCCTTTCTGGGAATCCATTGGAATCCCTAGGGAATGCCAAACAAATCCCCAGGAAGCGTCACGAGATCTTAAGAAATCCGGAGCAATCCCGAGTGAATCCGATGGAATCCCTTGGCAATTCTTAGGCCCCCATAAGGAATCCATTGGAATCCCTTGGAATCCTTCGGGAAACCTTAGGAATCCGTAAAGAATCTTTAAGAATCCGCCAGGAATCCTTAGGAATCCCTAGGGAATCCTTTGCAAGCGTATAGGGAATCCTTAGGAATCCAAAAAGAAATCTTTAGGAACCCCGATACGGAATCCTCAGGAATCCCTCGGAAATCTGTAGGATTCCCTAATAGGGAATCCGCAGGAATCCCCAGGGAATCCTTCAACAAGCCTTCAGGAATACTTCGGGATCCCGAGTGAATCCCCAAGGAATCCCTAGGAATCCTTAAGGAATCCATAGGAATCCCTAGGAAACCACCCAATCTTTTAACCTCTGACGTTTCAGCGGAGTTTGGAGTGTCTATTTTTGGGCTCGGCCAAGGATTCGGCGAGCGCCAAATCTATCAGTATCTACTGTTTCGAACCAGTTGCTATTTGTTTTGATGAGTTTCTATTTTCAACCCAAGGAAATTGCAATGCGCATCTATTTGTTAATCAGAAGCGTGTCTATTAGTGTCTATTTGTCATAAAAGAGCTGGTTCCGTATCTATTTTTGGTAACAGTATCTAGTTTGCACGTGTCGATTTTCATTTGGTCACACGAATTGCAAATCAAAGCAACATAAAAATAGACTCGCGTTTCGCGCGCTCCGACTCAGATGCGTCGCGGTTTCGCCATAGCAGGCGTGCACCAAAGATAGACACTACCAGTATATATGTGTGTGTCTACTAGGGCACTGCAGGGGCCATCGCACACTGATCGCTCCGGGGCCCGCGCACGGCAGAGGATCTGCGCCGTCTGCCCAGGGAGGCAGAGGGTGCAGAGACGCTCGGGGAGAGAACTGAGCACTGTTTGGCAGTTCCCTTTGCCCACTGGCGTGGCCTCAGCTCCCCTGTCGGGCGTTGGCAGAACGGGGTTTCGTGGAGCCTGGTGTAGTGATTTGTACCGGGGGCGCCCCCCCCGCTCCGTTTCCACTACCCGGAACTGCCGTCACCCGAAAAACACCAGTTACGGCAAACCTGGTTTAGTGAATCTGGCCAATTCAGGGGCCCCAGGGCCCTACCACTAACCGGGTCCTTACCCGGGGTCCTGGCCATACCCGACACTGGCCGACATGCCCACCCAGGTGGGGGTATGCGCTGGTCCCCGTGGGCTCCTCGGGGCCTGTCCCCACCTGAGGGGGTGGGTTCGTGGGCTGAGATCCCAGACTGAAGGGGCCCTGGGACACACAAAATGATACAAACGAATAACTGGATTCCCCATATTTTCCTATATCTTCTGGGTTTTTGTCTTCCCCGCCCACTTTCCATATTTCCTCGTCTTTCCCAGGGAATCGATGATCATTTGTGTCTGTGCGTGTTTGTTCCCCCTCCTGGCAGACGCCCGGCAGCTCGTCTTTTTTGTTCGAGACGGGCCGCCGACCTCTCGGGACCAGTTTCTCACCCCGCGTCGTTTTTTCGTGGACGGCCCCGAGGCCCCGTGAGGGCCCCGAAGGGCCGAAGACGCTGAAGCACCTGCGCCTCGATGTGTTCGAGACTCTGAATATCATATCCTCGACCACTTCCCCTGGACCAGTTTCTCACCCCGCGTCGTTTTCGTGGACGGCCCCGAGGCCCCGTGAGGGCCCCGAAGGGCCGAAGACGCTGAAGCACCTGCGCCTCGATGTGTTCGAGACGCTGAATATCATATCTGGGGATGCCATGGCCCAGTGGGGATTAGAGTATGCTCAAGGATGCCGGATCTCTTCTTTTTGACGCTCATAAGCGTGGGGCAGCCTGCCAGCATCGAGTGGTCGCCCAGCGCCGCAGATCGGACAGCCAAGCGTTGCCGCCCTGCTCCGCAAAGGGGAGACGTCAATTATCACCAGCCTGGAACATGTCCCTATCCCTATGCTGGGCATCTCCTCATCACGATGCCAATCTTAGGGATTCCCTTATTTTTTGAGGGCGAATCCCTAAGATTGTCATCGCCTTTTGGCGTGTCAATCTTGGGGATAGGGATAAGTTCGAGGCTGGTAAAATTATGAAATGTCTGCCAGCGGGCCTGCCTCCAGCAGTCCTGCATGCCTGCGATTCGACGATCGAGGAACAAACCACGGCACAAAAACATAAACTCTCGGAGGTCCGCGGCCTTCTCGAGTCGGCGCTGGGACCCCCATCCCTGGCGCGCGGAGCGCGCCAGAGGCGGCGCTGGAGGCGCCGCGAGGGGGGGGGGGGCCAACGCCGATCCGAGAGATCCGCTCGGAGATCCGAGAAATCCGCCAGGGGAATCCAGCGCCGATCCAAGACATCCGCGCCGGTCTCCGAGAACTTATGCTCATGCTAACGTCTTCCTCGAGATTAAGGACGGCCCTCCGGAGTCGTCTGACGAAGCGGGTCATGCAACTTGTTCGTTGCGCCCTGCCGCGCCGTCGCAGCACGGGTCTTCTGAGCCATTTACCACCTCCTTTTTGAAAAGCACAAAAAACAACAAGGAGAATCGTGCATCCCAGTTCTCCGTATGAGCCCCGGAGATTACTCCACTGGACTATCCGCTGGAGACAACCTTGCACAAATTGTTTACGTGGGTCAGCCAATTAAACAGGCCAATTAAAAAAGTGCCAGCCGCTATAACTCGCGTCATACCCGTGTCGCTCACACCAGAGATGCGGGCTCGACGGAACGAGGTTGCGGTGTTCCGATCTTTCCGCGTCTGCAACAAAAGTTTGGTAATTTACAGAAGCGTATGGTGCCCCAAACGGGCAGCTTTTGCTGTCGGGGCGCCGACCCATGCTGTATATCCACAGGTTATGCGCAGTGCCAACACAAGAGCGGAACAGAGAGGGTCGGAAGAGAAGATCATTTGCTCCAGGAAGCATCTGCTGGAATGCTCTACAGGAAAACCTGGAGCAGCGGATGGAGTTGGAGAGCCTTGGAGCAACAAGGGAGCTAAAGTACAAAGCCAGAGGCTTCAGACGCGCATCTCGCAAATTCGCCTGCAGCGACATGAGCAACTGCAGGGAGCGGTGAGAGGGACGGAGTGATGTGGATGATCGGATGAGGAGACAGATCTCGAGAGACAGAGAGAGCTCCCGTCGGCAACTCAGATACATCGCTGGTGCGCCAATGCGCAGTTATATAACGGTTACCGTGGTTGGAAAACTGGCCACCTCTGCCACGTCCACTCCTACTGGGACCTATTCCTTAAACAACAACGGGCCCCTCCCCACCCTCCTTCACCTCCCTGCCAAGGACGGCGGCACGGGCTCCAGGGGTCGTGGACCCTGGAGCCTTCCACGCGACCCACTCTCCATCCCGAGCTGCTCCTCACGGCCCCCCCGGGTGCCGGGAAGGAGCCCTCCCCCCAGGAGCCCGGGAGCACTGTCAGTATATAGAGGCCTCCCAGATGGGGTCGGAAGAGATGGGGTCGCAGGAACGCGCCGCATGGCCGACACATCGGCAACGCATCGTCGAGGTCGGCGATGCATCGAAACATCGTCCCCAGACTTTTCTTATTTTAACTATGTTTGAACATTCCTTCTGTAGAGGGGCGTGCCCGACATCAAGGAAAGGGTCCTGGAGGGCACGGGTCGTGGAGTCTCTCCGCAGAGGGCACAAGGTGTACCGATGCCGCCGCTCGTTCTGAGGCCCTCGCCGACGCGGCTGGCTTCCCCTGGAGGTTCTGGTCAGAACGCATCCCAGGGAGGTCCAGTGAGTCGCGGTAGTCTAGGCCTCCCAGATGGGGTCCGAATAGAGGGGGTCGGTGAATCGCGCCGCATCGCCCTAAGCCCTTCCGGCGATCCTCCTCCTGCTGCATGCAGCCGAGCCGAGCTCCGCCAGAGAGCCAGCTGGAGGGGGATTCTTTCGGCGGCGAACCAGGGCTGGAAGGGAGAAGGGGCGGGCCTTCTCAGAAGGCCCGGAAGTCTCTGGGCCTTCTGAGAAGTTTTTCAAGGCCTTCCCAGAAGACACAGAAATTCTGAGAAGCCCGCCGCCTTCTGAGAAGGCCTTCTCCTTCTCCTCCTCTCGGGAGCGGCCAAGAGGGGGGTGTCCAAGAGGGGGGGTGCAAATCATGACCGGCGGCATGTGCGCGGCCCAGCGGGGGGGCCAGGGACGTAATGAAGCAAGAAGAGGCGCCATAACATCTGGGGAGATATCATGGCCCACGCCAGGATATCCCCCCCCCCTAGTCATCTCCCCCCTCTTTTCCGCCCCCGACCCTCGCTCGCCGCCGAGTCTCACCCATCCGCCCGGGCAGAGAACAGCCGGCAGGCGCCCGCCAATTGGCGGCTGCCCGGGCGCGGGATGAGCGAGAAGGGCGCGGAGCGGCTGCGGGGCACGCACGGCGGCTCCCGTCGGGCGGGTGGCCATCGGGGGCGACCTGGACGGGGGGGGGAACCCCGAGAGCCGACGCTCCAAGAAAACTGGAACGGCTGGATTTTCACAATCTTCGGCCTCCGGGGGCCCTCGTCGGGCCTCGGGAGCGTCAACGAAACGACTCAGGACGAAAAGCCGGCCCTGGAAAAGTGGGCCAGACCTCCGGGGTCCACGCACTAACAAAAATTAGAGCAGCTGGATGTCTGGGAAAAAAGAAAGACCTGAAAGGTGCCCTCGAGGGCCCCTTTTGGAGCCAGTTTGTACCCGAAAGGGGCCCCTTTTTACAAGGCCCCTTTAGGGCCTTGTTCTTTACCACCCCTTGGGGTGACCCCCCGATCACCAACCGCCCGATCCAGAGCACTCCTGTTCTGAAGCCCCGTCCGGCACCCCCGCGCTGGACCCCGGCAGCGAGGTCGGGAGGCCCCTGGCGATCCCAAGCGCCCAGGGACCACGTGCGCCTTGTCAGCACCGCTGTGGGCCCTCCGTGTCCCTGGCGCGCAGCAGCCCCGCCGCCTTCTGAGAAGGCCTGCCCCCTCTCATTTCCACCCCAGGCTCGCCGCCGAGAACACGACTCACTCGAAGTCCCCAGCCCTCCAATTGCCCGAATGTCGGGGGCGTCTCGCGGGAACACTGGGGCCGGTCGCCTGACATCCCCAGAGGCCAGCGAGCGCCCAGCCGGGCCCAGAGGGTCCCAAGATGGTCCCAAGACAGCCCAACCCCAAGACGCCCAAGATGGCCTCCAGAAGGCGTCAACGGCCTCCAGGACGCCCGCAGAGGGATCCGCAGGGACTCCCAAAAAGGCTCCAAGCGGCCAAAATCATTGATTTCCCCATGTGGACTGAAGATTTTGGCCGCATAGGGCCCGAAGATGGGAACTCGAATGGGGGGAAGGAAAAGCGACACCAACACCACCAGGGAGCCACCTCCAGCGAGAAGGTCCACGATACCCCGCCGAGCTGGGGTCAGGGGATGTCTCGAGCGAGAGGGGGGACCATACCACCAGGGGACCCCTCCCTGGCTCCTCCCGCTGGTGGTCCCTGGTGGTCGTGGTGTCGGTTTTCCACTTCCTATCGAACGGGCCTTGGGAGCATTCCGTCCAAGATCGCAACCACGACCCCAGCGTGCCCCCAGGAGCCTCCCAGGAGCGCCCGAGAGGCCTCCGAGAGCCAGCCAAGAGACCCCCCCAAAGGCCCCAGGGAGGCCTATGCTAACCGCGAAATTTCTTTAGACCCACCCTCATACGGTGTAAGCAATCATTGTCGGCGGCCTCATTCACGGATTGGTGTTCCACCACTCGAGGAAACTCCTTATTTTTTCCCCGCGGCCCTCGCCACGAGCTACGACTGCGCTTGCAACTACGATCACGACGACCCGGGCACGCACGATCACACTACGATTAGGTCGGGCATGTCCCTCTACAGGCGGATGTTGAACGAACGATAACAAAAAAATACCCACAAATATTCCCAAATTGTTTAAACAAACTCATACATCGTCCCCAGACTATTTTTCACTACTTTGGGAATATTCCTCCTGTAGAGAGGGACGTGCCCGACTTACCACTGCGGTTGCCCCACGGGTTTCCACAACGGCCGGGGGAACACACAGAGCCCGATACCCTGGACAGACTCTGTAAAAGCCTCCTGGATGGGGTCGGGGCAGATGGGGTCGACGGATCGCGCCGCATCGCCGAGGCATCGCTGAGGCATCGGCGATGCATCGGCGATGCATCGGCGGCCTCGGCCTGGGGAGACGCGGGCTCCACACCGCACCGCACCGTCGATGCATCGGCGACGCGGCGTGATCCTCCGACCCCCTCCGCTCGGAACCCCCTCTCGGAGGCCCAGGCCCTGGCCCGACGCTCCGCCACGCCCGGCGATCACGCAGGGGGCCGGGGGCGGCGGAAGCCCGCCGTGCGGAGCCCACGCTCACTTCCCCAGGGCTGCCGCGCCGCACACCAGGGCTAGCACCGCCTCCGTCACGTCCGGCACCGCGAGCACCCCGTGCAGGAGGCGCCCGGGCCCGCTGTCGGGAGGGTCCTGTGGGGGACCAGCGCAGGGAACCAAAAACTCTATACTCCGGAGCTTTCTCCGGCTCCGCACCGAGACTCGCACAGGAAAGCGGCTCGTGGTGTACACGGGATCTTGGTGTATACATGTGTCGCGGTCTCCCTTGGAGAATGCGGAAGTCAGTGTACACCACACGACCCAGACGTCGTCCCCGACCCCCAAAAGGTCCTGGGATTCAAAAACAGCCTGCTACTGGTAATGTATACGTTCCGGTTTCCGACAACGGATGCCGATACAGCTACTCCTCCGACCTATCCCGGGGTGCATTCTGACCAACATGTCGCAGCAAAATTCAGCGGTGGCGACGAGAGCCTCTCATGAAGAAGAAGAAGACGAAGAAGAAGAAGAAGAAGAAGAAAAAGAAGAAGAATAATTGTCATGACGACGTACCCAGCCCCTGCGCAACGCATGGCCATAAAAGCTTGGTGCAATCTGTAGGGTGTGATCAGGCGACAAGGAGGATTATGTTTCTGCAAACAGCATTGGAGAGGCTCGCGAACAGCGCGACTCTCAGGACACCAATCCAGGGACAGGGGCTTCATAGAAGCGATTGGTTGGACCAACGGGTGCCAACCAGCTCACGAAAGCGGCGACAGGTTCGCAGATCGCAGGCCCCCCAGGGATGGCGAGGTCTCGTCTGAATCTGGGTGGCCCACCGTGCTGGCCCCGCCCCAACAGCCCTCGAAAGCGGCGACAGTTTCGCAGATCGCAGGCCCCCCAGGGATGGCGAGGTCTCGTCTGAGTCTGGGTGGGGCCTCCGCCGTGCTGGCCCCGCCCCAACAGCCCTCGAAAGCGGCGACAGGGAGGAGGAGGAGGAGGAGGAGGAGGAGGAGGAGGAGGAGGAGGAGGAGGAGGAGGAGAGGAGGAGGAGGAGGAGGAGGAGGAGGAGGAAAAGAGGGGGAGGAGGAGGAAGTTTCGCAGATCGCAGCCGCCCAGGGATGGCGAGGTCCAGTCTCAATCCGCGTGGGGCCCCACCGCGCTGCCACCCCAAGCCACCCTCGAAAGGCGGCGACCGTCTGGCAGATCGCAGCCCCCCAGGGAGGGAGGAGGGAGGAGGGAGGAGGGAGGAGGCAGGGATGGCGAGGTTCAGCCTGAATCTGGGTGGGGCCCCCGCTGTGCTGCCACCCCCAGCAACCCTCAGAAGCGGCGACAGCCTGGCAGATCGCAGCCCCCTGGGGATGGCGAGGTCTAATCTGAATATGGGTGGGGCCCCCGCTGTGCTGCCCCCCCAGCAACCCTCGAAAGCGGCGACAGTCTGGCAGATCACAGCCCCCTGGGGATGGCGAGGTCTGATTTGAATATGGTTGGGGCCCCCACTGTGCTGCCCCCCACATCAGCCCTTGAAAGCGACAACCGTTTCGCAGATCGCAGCCCCTCAGGGAAGGCGAGGTCAAATTTGAGTCTGGGTGGGACGTCACTGTGCTGGCCACCCCAGCCGCCCTCGAAAGTGGCGACAGTCTGGCAGATCGCAGCCCCCCCAGAGATGGCGAGGTCGAATTTGAGCCTGGGTAGGGCGTCGCTGTGCTGCCCCCCCACCGCCCTCGAAAATGGCGACCGTTTCACAGACCGCAGCCCCCCAGGCAAGGCGAGGTCAAATTTGAGCCTGGGTAGGACGTCACTGTGCTGCCCCCCAGCAGCCCTCGAAACTGGCTGCAGTCTCTCAGGTCGCAGCCACCCCAGGGATGGCGAGGTCCAATTTGAGCCTGGGTAGGACGTCACTGTGCGTGCTCCCCCAGCATCCTTCAAAAAATGGCGAGAGTTTCGCAAATCACCGTCCCCCAGGGGTGGCGAAGTGTAAGTTGAGTCTGGGTGGGACGTCACTGTGCTGCCCCCCCGCCAGCAGCCCTCGAAAGGTGGCGATCGCTTCGCAGATCGCAGCCCCCCAGGGATGGCGAGGTCGAATTTAAATCTGGGTTGACGTCAATGTGATGCCTCCCCAGCAACCCTCAAAAGTGGCGACCGTTTCGCAGACCGCAGCCCCCAAGGATGGCGAAGTCCAATTTTCAGCATGGGTAGGACAACGCCGTGCTGCCCCCCCAGCAGCCCTCGAAACTGGCTGCAGTCTCTCAGATCGCAGCTCCCCAGGGATGGCGAGGTCCAATCCGAATCTGGGCAAGGCGTCACTGCGGTGGCCTCCCCAACAACCCTCGAAAATGGCGACCGTTACGCAGATCGCAGCCCCCCCGGGGATGGCGAAGTCGGAGGCAAGTACGAGAGAAGATCGAAGCTTGAGGAGAGAAAAAAAGAGAGAGAGAGAGAGTGTGTGCGAGAGAGAGAGAGAGGGAAAGAGACATAGAGAGAGAGAGAGAGAAAAAAAAAAAGATAGAGGGGGAGAAGGAGAGAAAGAGAAAGAGAGAGAGAGAGAGAGCAAACAGCGAGGGAAAACCAAGGAATGAGAGAAGAGAGAGAAACGAGGGAGGAACAGGATGAGGTGGAGACCACGTGCTATATTCTTCACGAATGCCCATCCAAGGAGGGCTGGGAATACAGCAAGAGATAAGAGGAGAGCGAAGACGGGAGGCGGGAGGAGGAGAAGGACGCGACCAAACTGCCCTACGTAAAACGAATGCCCGAGCAAAAGAAGGCTGGGAACAACACGAGAAACCATAACAAGGTACCCTGCGACGCACACGGCCCATTTGCACCAAGTGCCAAGACAAGCTGGCCCAAGCTTGCCAGGACGGCGTCAGTGCAGGCACCGCTGTGTGTTGCGCAAGCCGCACAGGGGGGCGCCCGCGCGGCTCGATCCCCAGGACAACAACAACAACAACAACAACAACAACAACAACAACAACCATTTTAAGGCTGTGCGCTCTTTCTTGCCCGCGAGTCATTCAACACGTATACCCTACACCCTCGATACCCGCCCTCTTCGTTTTCGATCAAACCCCTTTCGGGGGGATTATTTCTCTGTGCTGGGGCCGGCGGGCTTAGACGTACGGGCAAACCGGAACGGGCGGACAATCCTTCGGGGGCGTACATCTCTCTGCCCGCCATTGGAATTGGCGCGGGCCCTGCAAGAGGAGGAGGGGAAGAACGAGGGAGAGTGGGAGGAAGGGGAGGGGGAAGGACGAAGGAAGAGGGAAGATACCACGTTGTGAAGGCGTCCTTGGCGCGTGCGTGGTTCCTGAGCGCCGAAACGCAATTCCAGAATAATTTGTGAGGACGTCGCACGCGAGAGCGCAGTCCTGAGTACATTGTGAGGAAATCTCAGGCGGAAGCGGGGGCCCTGACTAAGTTGCGAGGAAGTCTCAAGCGGGAGCGCCGTTCCTGAGCAAATTGCACGGAAGTCTCAGGCGGGAGCGGGGGTCCTCACTAAATTGCGAGGAAGTCTCAGGCGGGAGCGCCGTTCCCACGTAAATCGCACGGAAGTGGCGGGAGGGGGTCCTCACTAAATTGCGAGGAAGTCTCAGGCGGGAGCGCCGTTCCTGAGTCAATTGCGCGGAAATGTCAGGCAGGAGCGGGGGTCCTGAGTAAAATTCGAAGAAGTCTCAGGCGGGAGCGCCGTTCCCACGTAAATCGCACGGAAGTCTCAGGCGGGAGCGGGGGTCTTGATTACATTGCGAGGAAGTCTCAGACGGGAGCGCCTTTCCTGAGTAAATTGCGCGGAAATCTCAGGCGGGAGCGGGGGTCCTGAGTAAAAATCGAGGAAGTCTCAGGCGGGAGCCGTTGTTGTTGTAGCCCGGGGGGCAGGGGCACAGTTTGAGCAGGAAGACTTTCCTTAAGAAAAAACCAGGTGCGAGCCCCAGGGGTGGCACTTCAATCGAAAAAAATTAATGTGCACCGGTGGGGGGGGATCAACAATAATTATTCTTCAAGAGTGAGAGTTCAACAACGACGACGACAACGACAACGACAACGACAACGACAACGACAACGACAACAACAACAACAACAACAACAGGAACAACAACAACAGGAACAACAGGAACAACAGGAACAACAACAACAACAACAACAACAACAACAACAACAACAATCATTTAAGACTGGGGACACTCCGTTCTCACCAGTGCCAGGGTTTTCATAGGAGGCGGGCAATACCCCCACTTTGTGGGGGGGCCGGTTCAAGCTCTACCAAATTTCCATACGACTCTTCGCCACCACCCACACCCAGCTTCCCGCCCTATGACGTTCGGACACTTCACTTCGTGGCATGCGGACGACCGTGGCTACTATTCAGGGCCCCGCGGCCGACGACGACGGCGTGCGCGCGCGAAGAAAAAACGAATGTGTCCAATATGGTATTATTTGACAGGGATGATGGCCCTGGCATGCGCGCAACCGTTGTTGCAGAAGTTCGAAGCACGTGAAAAAGTTGCTCGCAAGAGCCCGTTTGACAGAAATGTTGAAAAAATATTGGGTTTCCTCAGAAATCCGCAAGAGCGCGCAAGATGAATTTTTGAAACTTTTTTTTTGAAAAACCATTGGGTTTTTCATGTTTTTATGTTAAAATCGCTACGAAAACTAAGGTTTTGGAAGGATTTCATCTTGCGCGCGCGAGTGTGCACTTCGTGTCATTTTTTGCAAAGGATTCTTGAAGTTTGGTTATGTTAGAACAAGAGATTTCATTTTATAGTGTTTTTTGCAAGGGAAAACGGGGGACAACAAAACAACCGGATCTGGTATACCCCGTTTTGCCTGAGACTTCCTCACGAAAATGATGAAAATGAGGCTGCGGCCTAGGCGCGGCGGGGGGGTCGTGCACCAGGGGTCCCAACAATAATTATTCTTAAGAAGAAATAATGTTCAACGACAACAACAACAACAGCAACAGCAACAGCAACAGCAACAGCAACAGCAACAGCAACAGCAACAGCAACAGCAGCAACAATTACAACAACAACAACACCAACAGAAAAGGGCGAGGAGCGAGGGCCCAGGCTCGAGGAGGACACTGGGGGCGGGAGCGAAAAAGGCAGGAGAAAGACGCGCGGGGGGCGGAACCGTCAGCGCGGCAGCAGCAGGAG